CATTAATAAGTGCAAAAACCAGGCAAAGCCAAATAAAACAACAAAGGAAGTCAAAACCAACAAAACAATAACAACAACCAAAAACAAAAACAAAATAACAATAACAAAAAGAAAGCCACTGACAAAAGGTCTGTTTGTTGGCCTTTACGAGTGTTTTCCAATCGAGTCTAATGGGGTGCCACACTCTGTCTCCAAAGTCTATTTTTGGTATTCCTTGGGGGTTTCATCACTCTGCTGCTCTGCTGCATGCCCTCAGTGCCTCACCCCAGTGTGATGGGGCCAGACCATGCACTATTCCCACACCATGTCTCCAGTGCTGTGCCCCACAGCACCATGGTTCAGTGAGGGTCGTCGTGTCCTGTGGTGGGGCCAGCCCTATGGTCCTCCCATGCGTTTCTGCTCCAAGCAGGAACATCATCCTCAAAGCTTGGTGGGCCAGGATGTCCTCTCCTCCCTCTCCATCCCTTTGCGTTTCTCCCGTGTGCTCTAATCCGATGCGCCCCGGTCCCCAAGCTGTAGCCCCAGTAAAAGCCCATTTTCATGGTGCTTCAGATTACACTTAGTACCTCTAACAAGGTGAAATATTGACACATTTCAACAAACAGGAGGTAAAGTTTGAGGCTTTTACTGATTCAATGCTCTGTGTGATTGAAGCGTGCCCCCCCCCCAAAAAAAATAGCATGAGATTCATGACTTGGGAATGGTTGCTGTACTTGTCTTCATTTTACCTTTCAGCTGGCTGCATACCGTATATACTCGAGTATAAGCCAACCCGAATATCAGCCGAGGCACCTAATTTTACCACAAAAACTGCATTTAAAATGTGCGAAAAAACTCGGCTTATACACAAGCATATTACGGTATATCCCAGCGGCAACAATGTGGCAGAATTGTCTTGGTGGCTGCCTTTGCCACAGGCAGGAGTGCTGTAAGATTTTCCCCTGTTGTACCCAGGGCTGCTGCTATGGAAGGGGAGAGGGGTCTTGCGATGTCGGTGGAGGAAGGCTTTGTTTCTTCTGGGCAGAGACAGGCTGAGGCACTATAGCTCTCTGGGTTGGGACAAAAATCTGTACTTCCGGAAGGTTAGTCAGAAAAGTTTGCTGAGTGGTTATGGCTTATATGGGGCTGGGTGAATATTGTGCTCCGGGCTGTGGATGGATGATATTACGTTGAGATGGTTGTTGTGGAGGAAACAGAGAGTGCTGCAGCAGAATCGTTAGACCTTGTGCCGAGTCCTGTCCTGCAAGCTGTCAAGGATGAGTTGGGGGACACTGAGGCAATTGATGAATAATAAAGTGAGAACGCTACTGCTGCTGCTGCTACGAGATAAAATGGAGCCGGAGTCAATTTAAAGGCTTCACAATGTAAGTCTTTTGTAAAACAAGTGGAACTTTTGTCCGAAGAGCTGCCTGATGGTACATAGCCACTCAGATTTATTTCTGCCAGATTTTTAGCATCAGGGCTCCAGGCCTGGACAAGATTTGAACCACTCACTGAAGCCTGTACTCCATGAACGGGGCCATGCTCATTTGCTCGAGGTCTACAGATGATTTCTGAGTAGGAACTGGCAGCTTTGAGGCAGAAGGAGTTGCAGGTTTAAGAAAGACACTTTCCTGTTGTGGAGCAGAAGTGTTAACCATAGAGCTATTTCCTGAGTCTGAGGGACTTTGGATGGATAGAAGTGTTAGACTGCTTTCCTGAAGACCGAATGGGCACTCTCTGAAGTTGTTCTGTTTCGCTTCCTGGAGAAAGTTGCTTCCGACTGGTTGAACCAATGGTCCTGACCGGACCAACTCCTGGCACTGATGGACTCTTCTCTCAGCAGCACACTTTGGTTCATTCATGAACCGGCTTGAATAATCATCTGGGGAGAAGTGGAGTGGAGACAGCTCATTATCATTTTCTTCCTCTTCTTCGCAAGACTGTTTTGTCCCAGAGACAAGTGGGGCATCCGGTGATTGCAGAACACTTAGTGTTATTTTCTGATGCTGATGACTAGCTTTAGAGCCAAATAAACACTGCTTATTTACCTCCAAAGCTGCCCCTACGGATGGTTGGGAGTCATCAGATAGGATAGAAAACGTTTGTGCCTTTGCATAGTTTCCCACATTCACTTCAGAAGGCAGGGCCAGATGACAGGGACTTTGTTTCCACTTAGCCACACAATTTCCTGGTTTAGAAAATTTCAGATCCTATTTCCAACCTGCTTTTCTTTTTTGACCTTCTTGGCAAGAAGAGATTGGTCTTGGCTGAGGTGGCAAAGGACTAGACCACTCATGTCTGTTGGCTCAGAGAAGACCTGGAACGCCTTTTGAAAGCCTGCTTCACTGGGTAAGTCAGTGTTCATCTTTTGCTTGTCATCGAGCGGTCTGTTTTCAGTGCAGGCTACTGGATCAAGACACAAGGCTTCAGCGGTAGCCAAGATCAGTTTACTTTCAAGCACATGTTTCTCTTCCTGAGCCCATTCATGGTAATCATTAGTCATTCACTGCACATCACAGGTTAGAGTCTGCATTGTGGGATGCAGGAGAACATACCTACTTCGGTAAAACTGCCCGCGGTCGCGGATTTCCGCGATGACACATCCAAAGGGAAAAATATTCACCTGAGATTTCTCCAGGACCTCAACCCAAAAGGGAGGTAATTCTTCTGCATCCAAGTATTCAAGCAGTATCCTTCCATCATAAGGAAGCTGGGTGGTTTCAGATCCTGACCCATTTCGCCCTCACCAGTGAATCACTGCCTGGTATAGGCTGACCATTAAACACGACAAATTCTTTGGCATAACAAGCTCTCCAACAAGTTCACGTTTCTTCTTAACTCCTTTACACTCTCAGGGCCCTTTTCACATTCTTCTACACGTGTCATGACGTTTTGAAATATCGATCTTCGTCCACTAGACAAATATTTTATTTTAGGCGGTCTCTGTTGGGCACGTTCAATAAGATCATCTGCATGATTCAAAGTTACTTCTAAATTTTGCTGCAGCGTAGCATAAAAGGAGAGAAAAAAAGCGGATTGAGGAATTTGGCAGCCAGATAAAATCTCCTACCTAGAACTCTGACTACCCCTGCCAGAAACCAACAGGGCGGGTCCCGCATTCTGGGAAATCAGACCCATGACCTGAATTTTCAGTACTCCAGGAATATCTCAGAGTCCCCATCCCTTAAAAAACAAAGATCCCCTTTTCAACCCGGGAGAACACAGAGCTTGGCACAGCAGGGAATCTTGAGCCCCAGACACTATAGCTGGGTTTCCTGATGAAAATCTTGCCAAACTACCACCACCTACAGAAGACTACAAAAGGAAGCCCAATGCCTGTTAAGAACTAAAAACAATGTATGATAGAGAGTATGATAACATGGTGTCTTTGACCAGTCTTGTAAAGGGCCACAGTGTGTTTGCAGTCTTAGCTCACAGAGGAATGCATGTTGGCTTTATTTTGTAAAAATGAGTTAGAGAAGAAAGTAATGTATTTTCATTGTTAACTGTCCTCTATAATTTATATAATACATTCATATAAAATATATTGTTTTCTTATACACTTGCTCCTTTCCTGATAACTTATATATTCAATATATTTTCTCATTGTATAAAATATTGACCGCAAAATTCAGTTCTGTAAAACATTAACCTGTGATAAGATAGGACCTATTTTCATGTATTTATATACTAACATTTCCTCAACTAAATAAATATGCTGATGACAAGGGGGGGGCGGAGAATAGTGTCTGGGGTCTTAAAGACCTGTTTCCAAACAAGCAACCATCTAAGTGAGATGTCAACTAAGCCCATGTGGAAGAAGCCCACACACATTTGTGATCCAAGGATTGTAAATTATAAAATCCAAATCCAAAGGTGGGAATAGTATCAGAGCTTACAGTGTGCGATTCTGATGTGCAGAAGGCTATGGATGACAGTGGAAGCCCAAAATACACTTTCAGGATATATATAAGGAATAAGCCTCCTGTGATTTCCCTCTAACCACAATCAAGGGGTGGGAAGAACCTGGTTATCTGACAGATAATATCGGAGACATAATTATAGTCGATTAAAGTGATGAACGGTAAAACCTTGTCACTTGATCTCCCTTCTGATACACTTTGGCCTTGATCTGGTTTTTAACATTTTCTGTGATTTTTTTTCAGATTGGGGTTTATTTCTGTTGTACTTTGTCATTGTTGGTAGCCTTCTTGACTCTCTGTTATGTGTTTTTCTATGGTTTTCAATGCAGGAACCCCAAGATAGGTGGATCTAGGTTGACAACAACTAGACTAAGGATTGGGGTGTGGGGGGGCTGATATCATGGAGCGCAAGCAGGAAGAAAAGGTTTTCAAACAGATTTTGGTGGCAATTGTACCACAAACTCTGCTTGGTATGACTGAATATGGAATGGCATGGTGTCTTGGGGAAAAAATAAAGGAGAGGTCATAGGGGTGGCAATTTTGTCTGGGGTCTCAGTTATCTAGTACGACATGATGGCACATCTTTCACATCTTCAAAGTGGCGTGGCCTTTATTCAGTATGGACACCAAGAAACCCACCCCAAAGAAGTGCTACACAAAATTCTCTTGAGTTCCTGAAAGTATCCATATCTGAGCATCGCCACATGGCCTCAGGGTGGTGCAACCGGCTCACCTTGACGTGGTGGGCTCATTTCCACAAAGGCACGTACGCATAATGTGATACGTGATGCGTGACGAAGTGACGCGTGACACGTGATGTATGGTACGCGGTGCATGACGGGTGGCACGTCGCACGTCATGCGCAACACGTCATCCGCGACGTGACTCGTCACGACACGTGATGCCGGCAAGGCATAAAGACGCCTGAGGTACACATTTCTGTCACTGGTCCTGCAGCCTCACTTCCTGTTCTTGTGTCCCTGCGTCCAGGTGGCGAACTAGTCACACCTCTTCGTTCCAATTTAACGCGAAAGACACGCAGAAAAGCGTAAGTTACCACGGGGGAAAATAGAGAAAAATTTGGGATAATTTTAATACACACGAATTTCTCAGGAACGCAAAGGATGATAAAGGCAGGAAAAGTTCTCGTTTGCTTTGGTATGTATGTAATTTGTGTAGTTGCGGGAACTTTACCAAGATTTTCTCACAGTTTTTGGAATCTTGTGACATCGATGGCAGGACCGCTTCCTGTCAGCACCCCGTAGGTGGTGGCGTGGTGGCTACGCGTATTAGGCTGCTAAGGACCAGGTCATACAGAGTCACCGGGTCAAAACCACAGAGGCTGTGAGTTTTACCAGTGGGTTTGGTTTGGGTTTTGAATGAATGCGCTATGAGCCTCGGTTCCTACATCCCCAAACCCAAATTCACTGCCATCAAATCGATGCCGACTCACAGCGACCCCGTACGACCGGGTAGAACTGCTCCTGTGAGTTTCAAGGTTGCAACTCTTTATAGGAGTGGAAAGCCTGACTTTCCCCCGCAGAGCGGCTGGTAGTTTTGAACTGCTGTCCTTGTGGTTAGCAGCCCAACACGTAACCACTATGCTTCCAGGGTTCTTGTATCTGTGACCTTAATCTCTCTGGTGCTGGGATCAAAACAAACAAAAAACCCACCACAAACTCAGCAGCTATGAAGCTCATGCTGACTCATAGTGGCCACACTGTGGGTTCCCAAGACGATAACTGTTTACAGGCGTAGAAAGCCCCCTTTCTCCCACGGAGCTGCTGGTGGTTCCGAATTGCCGTCCATGAGGATCGGAACCAGTACCTCACCAGGGCTCTTCAGGTGTTGGCGTAAGACTTCTTAATTTATCTTCCAGGGGTCTAGGGCCTAAATAATTTCATATTTATGTACTCGTAGCACGGCACTCAAACCATATGAACTTACCTTTTCCCCCCCTAACTTACCTTTTATTTCTCTATTCGGTTTGCAGAAGTCCCTGCAAAACTGATGGTTAAGTTGGGCTGCTAACCACAGGATAGGTCAAACCCACCAGCCACTCCCTAGAGGGGGATGAAGTATTTCTCCTACGGGTTGACAGTCTCAGAAACCCCTGAGGAAAACTAAAGAGATGTCGGTGGAGATCCTTTAAGGTAAACTCTAATGAGGAAATCCTTATCAAATTCTTTGTGCTTTTTAAAGTGTTTGCTATTCAGGTATGTGCAAATGCTGATTTATGTCGCCTACAAAATGAAAAAAAATAAAGCTAATAAATGTCCATTTTGGGCTCAAAAAAAGAAAAGAACTCCTATGAGCCGTTAGTTCTACTCTGTCCTATAGGGCCACGTAAGTTGGAAGCCACTTGATGACCATAGCATGTTCTAGGTAAGTTATATCATTTATGGACTGCAGTTCAACATAGGAAAGGGACATGTAAGTTTTTCTTTTTAAAAGGTGACTTCGGTCGATAAGATGAGAATTATTGCTGCAGGTGATGGCAATAAAATTTAAATAACAGCAATACTTGTAGACCATAGGGGTGATCCCAATGATAGATTCAGAAGGCATGATTGAATCTCATATAATACGCGGATCATCATTTTCTAGTAGCAAAAACCAGTTGCCATCTGGTTGTTTCTACCCATGCTGACGTGTTTGTCACGGTAGAACTAGCCAGGGACTCCTCTGTTAACTCACCGCCATCAAATTGATTCTGACTCACTTCAACCTGACAAAGGGTTTCTGCTAATCTTCTTGTTGTTATTGTTGTTTTATTAAATACTTTTATTGGGGGCTCTTACATCTCTTATCACCATTGTGTCAAGTACATTTGCACGTATGCTGCCATCATCATTTTCAAAGCATTTTCTTTCTACTTGAGCCCTTGATGTCAGCTCCTCCTTTTACACCCCCCCCTCCATCCCCTGCCCTCCCTCATGAACCTTTGATAATTTATAAATTATTATTTTCATATCTTGCATCATCCTCTGTTGCCCTTCACCCACTTTTCCATCGTTTGTCCCCCTTTAATGCTTCCTTTCCCCCACTATCATGACCTCAATTCTACCTTACAATTGGATTAGACCAGAACATGCACACTGCTACAGATAAGAGCCTGTAACACAGGGAATCCAGGATAGATAACCCCTCAGGGCTAACAATGAGAATAGAGCTACCAGGAGGATAAGGGAAAGGTGGGGGAAGAAAGGGGGAATCGATCACAAGGATCGACATATATAACCCCCTCCCAGGGGGACAAATAACGATTTCTGCGAATCTTACCTGAGCAGAAAGCCTCATCCTTTTTGCCACAGAGCTGGTGGGTTGGAGCCACGGACTGTGCAGTTAGCAGCCCAACTTAATTGCCTTGCACTGTGCTGCCCTTTGGATCGCTTCTTAAAGGAATATCTTTTGGTTTAGATCTAGACTTAGTCATATTAAAATATCTTTAGAAAAGCCTCAGAAATTAGAAGAATCCAAGAGAGGCTGGCGAGGTTAAAAGATCTTTTATTATCAAAAGCCATGATGATTATTACACACTACAGTAGATGCCTTATAGTAACGTAAGATTAAAATGCTTTGGGGGGAGGGAGGGAAAAAGAGGAGCTGATACCAAGGGCTCAATAGAAAGTAAATGTCTAGAAAAGGATGGCCAACATATGTACAAATATGCTTGATGCAATTAATGTATGGATTGTAATAAGAGTTGTAAGAGCCCCCAATAAAATGATCTCTTAATAAAGAAATAATTTAAATCTGAAAAAACACACACAAATGCTTTGTATAATAGAGTTGCTTAAAGATGACCCTCGTTGATGAACAGGGAAGAATGATTTTCCACTGGCCTCTCAAGTGTTTTTGTGTGAATGGATCCTTCTGGAGGCTTCAAGGGGGCTTGAACCAGTTTGGTTTCTTAACTCTTTTAAGCATCCTTCCCTGACAGTCCTTTTTACTTTCCAGATGCCTAAGTTTAGGCTAACTATGCAAAACTGAAAAGCACAGCAATACTTTGTCACCCCTAAATTCTAACATGCAAGTTAAACAGCCTGTGAATGAATGCAACCCTAACTGTGTTTGTCTCAGGAGTCGAGAAAAAACCATGAGCTTGGCACCTCAAGGAAAGCACTGGCAGCGATTCTTCCAATGTGAACAGATACCCTTAGCTGCCTACAGGCAGACTTCCAGGCTTGTCATCTACCCTGACCTCAGGGATTGTCTGTGTGGGGGAGCTGAAAAACGGTTGGCTCTTTAGCAGTATTCCATTTGGTGGCTGTTGTGGTTAGGTGCTACCAAGTCCGTGCCGACCCATAGGGACCCTATGCATTTGGGGAGGGAAGCTAATTAGAAAGGGAAAGCTCTGCTCGATACCTATTTAACCAGAGATGCTGTGGGCTGAGAACTGGCTGAGGCTGTAGAGGGCCCTTGGAGATGCAGACCTGTGCTTGAGCCAAGTGGTCATTTTCAAACAAAGATGCCCAAGGCGTCTTTCTGTTGGCTGCCACTGTGGCCAACGAGCAAGTCTAAAACGAAGGGGAGGCAATGAGGTGCCCAGCACACACCAAGGAGGCACTCCCTCTCGGCTGGCAAGCTTGGGTGCCTCACCGCCCTTGTTTGAATTTGCATCTCTTTCTCGTGGAATTAAGTGTTTGCAGAGTTTCTCCATGCCAGCCCCTGAACTCACTGAGGGCAGGTGTCCGGTCTCTGCTTAACAGGCATGAGAGAAAAGACAAGTTCATTAATTAACTCATGACTGACTCCCAGCTCCCGTGTCTTCACCTCAAGACTCCCAAGCACGTAGTTCTGTAAACATTGGCTCCTTCCCCCCCCCCCCCCCCCCCCCCCCGAGTTGAGGAAAGTACACATAGCCAGGTTTCCTGACCTGGTGTGGCAGGATTCTCAACCTGGGCCCTATTGGCCTTGGGGGGAGCGGGGAGGGAGGGGTGCGGGGCAGGAGGAGTGTCCTGTGCTTTTAAGACGCTTAGCAGCATTCCTGGTGTTCACCCACTAGATGCCAGTAGCACTCCAAGTGCAGTTAGTCCATTTAGAAAGGTTTTGGTTCCTATAACTGGAATAAATGACTTCAGGCATGGCTGCATCCAGGAAGTCAAGTGATGTTAGAAACCTCCCTCCATCTTGTGGCTCTGCTACCCTCTGTATTCACTTCATTCTCAGGAAACTCCCCATTTACATGCCAGCTTGGTCGTCTTAACTAAAAGGGAGGTTCCTTCCTCACTTGTTTCAGCATGGCCTGTCAGAATTGAGTCCCTGTTAGAGTTTCAGGAGGCCGTCAGCCAGGAAATTCATAACAGTTGAGAGTGTCCCTCAGAGTGCAGCAACCCCAAACGTTTCCAGACGTTGTCGAACGTCCCCACGGGATAAAAATGGCCTCCCCTCTCCACCTCACTCCCACCACATCGAGGACCACTCTCCTACCCTGCCCTGTAAGTCATGAGTGTGATCCCAATGCCCCTGCAGAGCTGAGGCTCCACCGGGGATCTCTCTTTGTAGGGCTAGGTCTGCCCTCCCAGTCACACGAGGGAATTGTTGCATTGACTGTGTCTTGGACTGTCCCAGCAGCAGCCCCGGAGACCAGGTTTCAGCACAAGTGGTTTATTTAGGAGGTAATCCCCAGAAGCATGGGTGAGCAGAAGTGGGTAAGAAGACAGTCAAAGGTGTGTTGGTGAGCAGAAGACTGCTGTGGGCAACTGATCCCAGCTAGGGGTCTCTGGGAGACAGTGCAGGACAAGTCACAAGGGGCGAGGAAGTTGGGACTTTTTAAAAAACAATTTTATTAGGATTTCATGCACATGTCATACAATTCGATAATTCAGTCACATCAAGAACAGTTGTACAATTATCAGCACCTTCAATTCTGGAGGCTGGGACATTTTGCATCCAGTTCTGTTTCTATTTCCTGAGCACTGTTCCGGGGTCAGGGTGGAGGGGAGCGGTGCCTGGGGGCTGCCCTTCCCTGACATTCTCAGATGCAGAGGACAAGGGCCACACAGGCTGAGCAGGTCCTGGCGGCCCTCAGACAGGGTCACAGGTACTGGCAGGAAGATACTGTCTGTGGGTACAGAC